ATATATATATTAATATAATATTATTTCGTGAAGGATACCTAGTCTTATATACTCATTAAATAATTCATATTAGTTCGTGGCAATACTCTGTTGTTTGAATTTTTTTTAGAAAAGCTTTATTTGTACATTTTGTAAAAATGTTAAAATTTTTCTGTTTGTAATGTTAATATTAATATCAATTATTATTCTTTTATTACTATTGAAATTATTAGATATAAGTATAACGTTTCTATTGCAGGTAAGACCCTCTACTACAAGTATTTGCTGCAATTACTTGCCTCGTGATGTGGAATCTAATAACAATTGTGACAGCAGTAATGTGCACAGTAGGGAGAGAGACATTAACAATATCGATCGGTGGCGGTAATGCTATGGCGATGGCAATGCACGTTGCACCCTACATTAACATTAATGATGACGAAGACGAATGCGATGGCAGTGGCAACGGCAATGGGAATTGCGATGACCGTAGTGATGGTAATGGCGATGACAATTTCAGTATAGATTGCGATAGGAATAATCATTAGGACGCTAACGAGAATGGTGACATAAGATGGCATCGGTAATGGCAAAGACTAACACTGCGAAGACGCCAATGAGAGACGAGAACAGCGACGCTAATGTGAATAAGGCCGAACTCAGAAGGAAGAAGAATCTTTCGGAAGGGAAGTTGAGTCTTCCGCGACCGGAGTCTCGTGTTTGTTGTCCGCTGTGCTTTCGTCGCCGCGTGCAAGGCTTCTTCGCCAACGTAGTCGTTTTAGGCCTGGGACCGACTTTTGAGCGGTTTCTATAACAGTTGAGAGTCGCAGAGCACCGCATGGGCTTCGCGAATTGTTTTCTTCCGCCAGTCAGATTAAAAGGAACAGTTATAAACGAATAGAAATGATGCAAATCATGTTGGAAAACATATGAATATTAAAGTTCTCCAAAATAACATAACAGTGAGTTCAAACGTTCGTGAAATCGATGCGAATGATTTCTACATGTTCCTCTCCGACCCCAACTTAGTTGGTATGTTCGAGTATAAATATAGCTGCACCGCGTACAGACAAGAACCGGTCAAGTCCCTCGAGCTCGGGCTTGGCTCTCAGTAGGCGGTTGTGGTGGTTCAGTAACGCAGTGAGAAATTTAGTGGCAACTTCCAGGAAGCCATAAGAAATTGAGATGTATAGGTAAAAAGGAAGTTATCTTCCCAGCATTAAAAAGAACATTTATTTTTAAATTGAGTGATATAATTTCTTTTTTATCTATGCATATGGATTTCCACAAAATTTCTGCGGTAACCACCACGGTAAAGTTTCTGTAAATTGAAATGTCACCGCAACACGATTACTGAATCCGCAAAGCCATGCAGTTTCAGTGGCTCCTTTTATTCGTGCTTCCTTGTGCCCATGGATTTCGATATTTGGGCTCTACGCCAACGCCCTCTGAGATCTTTCGCGTCTATTGTTTCGTCCGGTATTCGCTTACTTTCCACTTCGAGCTTCTCCAAATATGTATGTCCTCCTGTATTCGAACTGGTACTAATAATCAGTCGAATGTTAATTATAACTGTCAAACCCTAATAATGTATTCGCATTTTTTAAGCTAATGTTCGCAAATTTTGAAACGACTTCTGATGCAAGCCTCACAACAGTACTTTTTCATCCCCCTATCCTCCATATCTTACAAGTCATCGCTTCTGTCAGTTGCCCCTGTGGGCACTGCAAGGTGCTTTCTCGCAATATAGATTATAATGATGAGGTCTGATTTAGACCATATTTTTATTTCCTTGAGGACAAATGCTTTTGCCGGAAAGACGAGACCAATATCTATGGGGAAGGAGAACTTAATTTCGGAGAACTCAAATCTGCAGTGCGTAATAAATTTACTCAATCCATATCCAAGCATATTTTATTGTCTTAATACGAAAATGTGTTTGTTATTTAATACATTATATTCAATTGATATTAATAGTTTCAAATTAAACTACCATTGAATCACATCCAAATTTAGTAGTTTCGAGAAGTTGCGGTGTGTTCGGTAAGAGGGAGAAATTTCATCATTTTGTGGTTGGAGATGAATAATTCATTTGATTAATTGAGCAAATTCTCTCTTCCCGCAATGGATACGATCGTGAGTAAAGCGCGACGATCTTGGCCTCTTGGCGCTCAACAGAATTGGGAACAAAACTCTTGTGACACGCTCCAAAATAGTTTCCTGTCACTCCCCGTATTTCCGTCCGTGACTGGTGTCTCCGTAAATATACGCTCAGTAAAAAAATCGTACATCACGCTTTTTTAAATATGATGCCCATGTGGGGGCTTTTTCTAGACACATGCTTTTTACAGACACATGCTATAAAATGGTCATTTGGTATTAAAAGTTCTTCTCCGTCTTTTAGTGCGAGTTGCTAATCATGACAAAAGAAAACACTTTTCGTACAGATGAGCACGTGCGACGTTAGAAACGTGCCTCTGTATGATAGTAAACAAAAAGCTTTTATTTCATTAATACTTCAAAACATACTTCTTGTAGGTACATTTTTGTTACGAATAGTCTAATTTTTTAATATCAGGAAAAAACAAAATATTATTATTGAAAAGTTTTGAAGTTGCACATTATGAAGTTGTACAAGAGCACTTAACTCAGGAACGCAAGAGATGATATTTGTTCACCTTGAGAAAGGTCTCGCAATCAGTAGGACGACCGATACGTTGGCAACTGTGCCTAGGACGCGACGTCCCCCAGAGAGTCCCAAAATCTATTTACTCCGACTGCGGAAGTCCACGTTCTCACCACTGCGTTAATTTGTCCAGGAAAGTGGAATGCAAGAACGACGTCACGACTCCGTAGCTTACTCTCAAAAACAGGTATGGCAGGCTTCTTTCCATCATCATTGTGGCGACATGGGAACGTCATGTCGCACGTTCCTTGTTATGGCGACATGGGAGTGTTTGCCATTGTTGGAGGGTTTCCTATGTGTGGCGTCTTATTTAAACGAGAAATCAAATAGGAGTTATTGGTGCTACATAATGGCACAGACTTTCTCGTATTAGTTTTATATTTTCTTTGATCTAGGTAAGTTATTCGGACTTGCCACAAACTCTTGCCAGCTGCCATCTATCGCCGAACAAAGTTCATTTTTTTTCAAGTTTTCACAATTTTCCGGTATCCCAATAGTGGAACCGAATTATTACTTACCTGAAGGATATTGAAGGAGAGTAAAACCTTTTCCTAAATGACAATTTTCCTGAATAAAATTGGAGCAGTTTTTAAGAAAGTAGCGTTTAAGCTTTATTGTAAACACGAAATTTGAAGCTCTTATTCACAGGAAATTGTTGAGTTTTCGGTAAACTTCATTTAAAGTCATTTGAGGTACTTTAACTCGGAAATGCAATAGCGTTTATAAACAGCCGGAAATGTGCATATCAATGTCGTGAGAGATATTTTAAAATACAAATATTTGGATTTTTTTAAAAATAAAAGAATACAGCAAAATGATCTTTGTCATTTTTAACTGTGCAATTAGCACTACCCGTTGACAATGTTTGGAAACAACGGAGCCATTTTTGAGAAAATGGCGTTTAAACGTTTCTGAAAATGCGGAAGGTTGAGCTCTATTTAACGGAAGTACATAACTCATACAATAATATGAAGAAATTTCCGCTAATATAAATTTTAACGACAGAACAGACAAGTCAAAAAATTACATTTATTAATTAAAAAAAGAATAAAGCTGTATGGAGTTTGTCATCTCATAGAGTACATTTACAACTATCCTTACCAAAAGTTTAAAGAAAATATTTAGAGCCGTTTTTGAGAAAATCTTGTTTACGTATTTTTTGAAATTGCAAATATTGCGCGCAATATTTCGCGAAAACAAAATTTTCAAAAATATAAATGCTCTTAATGAAATACATAACTATAGAAAAATCTCTATCTTGAATTTTGTAGTTGTAGGAAGACGCCGAAAAAAATCAAACTTTTGCAAGTTTCGAAACTCTAGAGCTTACCGTAAAATTTGGTCCTATGACACCTTCATAAGTGTATTTTATTCAATTTTTACAAGAAATGCATAGAAAAAAATTTGGAACCGCATTTGAGACAATTTTGGAAATGTCTGGAGAGCTTTATATAAAGTACCCTCAAATTTTCAATAAAAGTTTTTCAAAATTGTAGCTTCTCGACTCGAGCCAGGTCAACCGGGGAATATCCAATTTGGAAAAACTCCGACGTATGGTTTAGACGTTAGTAGTTTTCACAGACGGACGGACGTTTTGAAAAATACTTTTTTGATATCATGGGGCTCGAAAATGTGCATTTCTTTGAAATCTCGAGATCGATTTTCCGCGGCATTACGTAATTTTCTCTGCACTACGTATGTACTCTGTATATACGTATGTACACGAGAAAGTAAAAAAAAGACGTAAAGAGACGAGTACAAACCACCCGACGTTCGGGAACCTAACATAGATGTTCAAAATTAAAACATTGATGTTAATAAGGCATCTTCCAAAAAACCATCCTGGCTTTTAAAAGTTTTCAGTAATATCTAACATTTACATTTCGCACGCAGGTAATTTAATTTTACAGCGGCAGTGATTATTCATTGATAATTAATATTAACTAATACAACACACTGAAAATAATAAGAACAATTAGCAATATTACGTCTGAAAACATGATCGCTCACGGCCAATTCAAGGTCAGAACTTCCACAGTTTGCCCTAGAAGGATGCGAAAAAGGGGGGGGAAGCCTCATGGCCACAGCGCATGCATTGGCCATCTCTCCATGTGTGAAATACGAGGAAAGACGTTGGAAATTCCAGGATATCAGGGTCATCTCAGGCAAGAGATAGACTGCTCCTCCTCGTCTTCTTCCCTTCGCTGGCCCATCATTTCGGGAGCAGCGAGCGGGGCCGAACGCTTGTGCGCGGAGCACCTGCCTGGTCGGCCCTGTCGTAGAAGCAAGAGCGTGCACAGTCCCACAGGGGAGTGCCGGCGAGCGTGCCGCTACCTCCGCCCCTCCCACTCTGCTTGCCCCGCCCACCCCCTCCGCTTTCCCCTTTCCCCACCCACTGCTCGCAGCCTGTGCTGCAGCGTCTCACGTTGCACCGCGCGAAGCGAGCGCGAGCGACCTCGAGCGCGAGCGACCTGCTCGCCGCGGGGGGTCGGCAACCTGCAGTCGCAAGCGGCGCCCAGTGGGCCGAATCGCGCCGCACGGAGCCCTCGCGTTGGTCCACTGTCTGGGGAAGAATCCTAGCTTACTGTTGCTCTGTTCGGTTGTTTCCCGTGATATCCTCAATAATACTAGGCGAATGTCTGAACTAAAACCTAGTAATCGGGCAGGGATCGTGCTCTATCTTTCCTTTCTCGTCCAT